CCCTGCTTGTGTTCCTTATCTCGCTTTGTCTCTCTCTGTCAAATAAATAAATAAAATCTTTAAATAAATAAATAAATGCAATCCATACCCACAGGGAGAAGAATTAGAAGAGAGGAGTATTAAAGAATTTGTGGACATTTTGTGACCCATGGACATATGACCCATGAACTTAATAAACCAGCTAACATACCTCTGAAGAACATCTCCATTATACCTTGCAATTATTAATATTTGGGGTTATTTCCTTCCATTATTTCTTCACATGTTTCTCCACTTTGCATAGTTGCCATCGTGTGTGTGTGTGTGTGTGTGTGTGTGTGTGTGTACATGAAAATGTTATATTCTGGGTTTGTTTGGTTTTTTTTCATTATATAAGATACTCTCTCATTAATGAAAAGGTGCTCTATTCCCAAGACAACCTCTAGGGGATGCTAGTGCTTGAATGTGCCCTACCTCTCTTTCCTTTCTCTCCCTCCTTTCTTTGATGGCAGTAATAGGAGTGAGGTAGACAACTAATGGAAGATAGATTCTGACACACAGAGATTAAAGGAGAAGGTTCTCAAAGCCTTTAGACTTCATGTCAGATGCCAGGAATAGGACAGAGAGTCCCAGATGGGATTCAGCACAAAAGCCCATACAGTATAGATACTAATTTTCATCATCCTCTCTCTCTGCAGCAACTACAGTTTCTCAACAGATGGTTTCAGTGGGTCAGGAGGCGGTGGCAGCCATGGTTCCTCTGTGGGTGTCCAGGGAGGTGTGGACTGGATGAGAAAGCTGGCTTTCCGCTACCGAAAAGTGAGAGAAATCTATGATAAGCATAAAAGCAACGTGGGTGGTAAGTGTGGCATACAGCCAGTCTGATATTCTGTTTCCCTCTTATTTCCTGTGTTCTTTTCCAGGGATTCCTTAGAACTCCCTGGCAACTGCTTAGGAATTGGGGCCGCAATAACATTTTAACTTTGTATAAAAAAACTGAGGTTTGATTAAAACTCTTTGAGGAGGAAGCTCTGCATCTCTCATGGACTTCTCTTAGCATAACTTTGCAGAGTTCTCTTGTTCTTTTTAGACAAATACCTTTTTAAAGAAATGTGTTCCAAAGATTATGTTTGATGACACATGTTTTATTCTGGAGTCACAACTATTGTCAATACTAGTTAATAGGTTGCCATGTTTTTTGACTGATTTATGGTAACTATCAGAACAAGTGAGGTAGAACTAGTGACTAGATTTATAATGGGTAGAAAACTTGGTCCAGAATTAAAGGTTGGCAGTAGCCATGTGTTGGACCTTGGAAATTCTGCCCAGAAATATCTGAAATATCAGATGTCACTATGCCTAAAATTCTGTTATTTAAAATTAATAAATTAAGCATAGATTGTTCAAATTAGAAGAGACATTAGAAATCTAATCTGAATCCCTCATTTTGCATTTGAGAAAGCTCATTTATCATGAGGGTGCTGAGGACAGCTTACCCACGGTCACAGCTGGAATCCAATCCCCTAACTCTTGATCCAGTGTACTTTACATTCATGCAGGACACTTTTTTTTAAAGTATGAAAGATGTTTTTATTTTTATTTATTTATTTATTTTTAAAGTAAGCCCTGTGCCCAGTATGGGGCTTGAACTCACGAGCCCGAGATCAAGAGTCGCATGCTTACTGACTGAGACAGCCAAGTGCCCTGATGCAGTTCCTGTTTTAGTGATGTATCCTTATGAGAAAAAATTTTTAAGCTGTGAAGTATCACCCTCAAAGATCTAATACAAAATGTTGCATGAAGTTTCAGGGATTCGAGAGACTGTCTAGAGGTATATTATCCCAGATCAAGAAACAGTTCCTGCCGCACCATGCTGCCTTACATTGTGGTGCAGAAAGTAAAAATAGGGCTTTAAGATAATTTGGTTCATTTCTGTTAGAGCCCCCAGTACCAGATAAAAAGCACAGGCATCTGGGCTTTGGGAATTTAATTTGCTTTTTTTAGATTCCCCTTTTTATGGCCTATTTTTTTCTCATGATTCAGAGTCAGTACTTTATTTTGGCAACTCCCATCTTTTTGCTTTTACTGTCTCCACACATTAGCCTTTCTTTTGTTAGTTTTCGTATACAACCTAAGTATCTGATCCTTTTTCTGTTCATTGAGTGCCAGGACCTGGTTTCCTGAAGGAAGTGATATAACCCTCTGTGAGAATCCCCTGAGCCTACTCTGGGGAATATATTAAAAGTAAGGTCCACCTGTATTTTGTAAAATAGGAATTAACAGAAGTGCCACATCGTATTATTAATTAAGTATGTGACATGTGTACTTATGTGTATGCCACACATGACATATAGGTGCTGGTTTTGTTGTTGTTTTACCAGAGACCTTGAGAGTCCTGTAATTCTAGGCTTGCATTGTGAAACCTTCAATCTGAAAACAAATTATATAACAATCTCCTCACAGAAATGCCTTCTGTTTTTGTGAAATATTTGTAATAGAAGATAGGATTTCTCTTTTACCTTCACTACAGAAAATACAGGGCCAGATTTATTATTTGAATATTATAATTCAAATGTCTGATAACATGTTCCCATCCGATGAATTCTGTTTTGTTCCATGCTTGTCTGATCTTGAGCAGTGTTTCAGTCTCCTCTTAGCTGGAGTTGTTTCAGCAGCAAGTACAGTACAAATAAATGATGTTCATGAAGTTGGTCATTCAACCTGGAATCTCAGGTCAATGTGTTACAAACGGGTGAGAGCACGGTCACCATGGGAGCAGGGTGTGGCAGAGCAAAGGCTTCGGAAGCCAAAAGCCACTAACTTGCTGTGTGATCTTAGGCAGCCCCCTTTCCTCCCTGGGCTTCGGTTTCTTTAGAGAGATTGGAAATGCTGCAGACTCTTCCAGCTGTAACCCTCATTTCTCCCCCTTTGATTCTTGATGTCACATCTACAGCAGTGCTGCTCAAAGTGTGGTCCCCCAGTCTGCCAGTTATGTTACTGGCTGGTGGTAAAAGAGTAAGCTTTGGCAGAATCTAATCACAGTGTTTCTTTCAGCTGATTTTGTGCTGGTGGTTGTGGCCCCCCTAGCAAAACATTCTGATGAAGAAAGTCAAAAAGGCATTTTAATTAAGTAGACTACTCCAGGGTTTTACCAAGAGAAACCTGTTAGCTCATTAGAATATTTCAGTGACTCACACTATTTCTAAATTGAATTTAGAAGTTGCTTCCTTAGTGTCAGCAAGGATATGTTGTCAACTGATAAATGTGTCTGCTTTTATTCCCAAAGGCCTGCTCAGTCCCCAGAGAAAGGAAGCACTGCAGAGACTAAGAGCAGAAATTGAAGTTTTAACAGATTCCTGGTTAGGAACTGCATTAAAGTCCTTACTTCTCATCCAGTCCAGGTATGGGAATGGTACTTTTAGGTCTCATCCTCTCCTATATGCACTCAATCCTACCCCAGTCCAGGATAGGCCACTCTGTAACACCGGTTTGGGATAGGGGTGAGAGGAGTTGAAAGGATGCAAGCAAACATTTAGGTTTGGTGGGAGGCGAGGTCATTCTATGCTGACAGCACGTGTTCAGATTTTCAGAGAATATTTATATGTGAAAGCCTTTTTCTTTCCCCTTACTTTTCGCTCACAGAATTAAAGCTCAGTAACCCATAATATCCAGCCCAGGAATGGGCCTGGTCACATCAAAGAAACCCTATAGGAGACACATCACATACCCTAAGTACAGGAAGCTCTAAAGAAATGTGTCAAAGCCCACTCAGGAAGGCAGGATTCAGAAGAAAAGGAAAAATTAAGCAGTTTAAGGAGATTTCAGCTTTTGAAGCTTAGAATGGGAAATAAATATAGTCAAATACAGTCTACACCAGTACCCTATTCCTTCCTCCCTCAAAGTAGGAATTCCAGATCTCCAACCTAGTAGAGCAAACAGTAAAACTGACACCAAGGGGTAGATATCCGTAAAGGTAAAGGACATGTGAAATTAAGGTGTATTCTGGAATCTGTGTTGCTATTGTGTGAGAGGCAGAGAGGACTTAAATCATATCTTACTTAAGAGCTGAGTTGCATTCAGATGAAATAGCACTGTGACTGAAAGTCTTCAATGCTGGTTTTCTAGAGTACTATCAGTGACATGGGTTGGTGGTTTATTTGCTAACAAGTGCAGTGAGCTAGAATGGTCATAAGGGAAATGGGGCAAGAATCAAGTTGCTGCTCTGTGCCCACTGTGTGTGTGTATATATATATATATATATAGAATCTGTGTCCTTTAATATGGGAAATAAATAAATCTGAGGTAATTAGAGCAACAACTGAACATGGCACTGAACAAAAATCAGGCCCTTTGAGGTTAGTTTTTAATAATTAGATTCTAAAGAGAAGACCCATTTGAATTCTTGCTCTCAGGTTGGTTTAGTTTCACCTTTTCCTTTTCTTTTTATTTTTTCTCCTTTCTAGAAAGAATTGTGTGAATGTTCTGATCACTACAACTCAGCTGGTTCCAGCTCTGGCCAAGGTTCTCCTATACGGGCTAGGAGAAATATTTCCTATTGAAAACATCTATAGTGCTACCAAAATTGGTATGGTTTCTATTCTCTTTCTTGTCACTTGCCTTACATAATACTTCATAATTATGATGTGCTTAATTATTTACCAATCCCTTAATTAGACACTTTATGTATATCTCTAATCCTCACAGCAGTCTTTTCCTAGTATTAGTGATGGGCCAGTTCAGGCTTAACAGTTCTGTAGCTTCCTCAAGGCTTCACAGCTAGTAAGTTACATAACCGGATTCAAATCCAGGTTTGTCGGACTTAAAGTTTATCATGCTCTTTCCTTTTATAATAATTGAAAGAACATAATATATAGCTTGGAAATCTACTTTTGCCTCATTCCAGATTTATTTTTCTTTTCTACAGAGAGAGTGGTGCAATATAGTCTAATAGAAAAAGCACTAAATTAAAAATCAAAGACTAAGCTATATACTTAAAACTGGTTAAATCCCTCACACCCATTCAGATGGCTGCTGTCAAAAAAAGAAAAAATAGGGGCGCCTGGGTGGCTCAGTCAGTCAGAAGCCTGCTTCTCCCTCTCCCTCTGCCCCTGCTTGTGTTCCCTCTCTCGCTGTCTCTCTCTGTCAAATAAATAAATAAAATCTTTAAAAAAAAAATAGTTGGGGTACCTGGCTGACTCAGTCAGTGGAGCGTGCAACTCTCCACATTGATGGGACGTAAGTTCAAGCCCCACGTTGGGCGTAGAGTTTCTTAAAAATAAAAAAAGAAAATGAATAACAAGTGTTGACAAGATGTGGATAAATTGGAGCCCTTCTGCACTGTTGGTGGGAACATAAAATGGTAGGACTACTATGGGAAACAGTATGGTGGTTCCTCAAAAAATTTAAAAAAGAACTATTATATGATCAGTAAACCCACTTCTGGGTATATATCCAAAAGGATTGAAAGCAGGATCTCAAAAAAATATTTGCACACCCATGTTCATAATAGCGTTATTCACGATAGCCAAGAGGTGGAAGCAACTCAGATGTCCATCAAATGAATGGATAAACAAGATACGGTATATACATACATACAGTGAGATATCACTGTGCCATAAAAGGGAAGAAAATCTTGTCATATACTACCACATGTATCAGCCTTGAAGATGTTATGCTAATGAAGTAAGCCAGTCACAAAAAGGCAAATACTGTGTGTTTCTTAGTCAAACTCATAGAAACAGAAAGGAGAATGGTGATTAACAAAGGCTTGGAGGAAAGGGAAATAGGGAATTCTTGTTTAATGGGTATAGAATTTCAGCTTTGCACCATGAAAAGTTCTAGAACAACAATGTGAGTATACTTAACACTGCTGAAATGTACATTTAAAAATGGTTAAGATGGCAGATTTTATGGTTTTTAGTATAATTTTTTGAAAAGGAAAAAAAACACAGTAATAAGGACTAGAAATTCAGGGCACCCGGTGGCTTAGTCAGTTAAGCATCTGCCTTCAGCTCAGGCCCTGATCCCAGGGTGCTGGGATCGAGCCCCGCATGGAGCCCCGCATCAGGGCCTGCTTCTCCCTCTCACTCTGCCGCTCCCCCTGCTTGTGCTCTCTCGCCCTCTCTCTCTCTCATGAATAAATAAAACCTTTAAAAAGGAAAAAAAGGACTAGAATTCAAGTCCTGTCTCCCCCACTTAGTAGTTCTCACTTTAGGCAAATTATCTCTTGAGCCTCCATTTTCTCATATAAAATGAGAAACTTCCAGAGAGACTGTGAAACTCAAATGGGACTATGTAAATGAAGGTACTGTTTAACCCCTATATTCAGTACCAAGTATGGGAAACAGTAGGTACTCAATAAATATTTGCTGAAATAATTAATTAATTAATTGGCACCAGATTTATACAAAACCAACTTGTTCCACTAAGATGGCAGCAGTGTGTCACTCTGCTTCTTGTGTGCTGAACATGGTCAGAAAAAGAGGAATATGACAACCCTCTCCTCACCTCTCCAGACTCTTACAGTTCCTACTTCACTGTTATACCAAGCAAAGGAGAGGGTCCTAGAGTTTGAAGATCGACTGTGGTTATTCATTATTTTTTTAATAATCTACTACATGCCTGTTGATCAGCTTTCTCCATAAAAAGTAGGTCTAATTATACACACACACACACACATACATACATACATACATACATATATATACACACACACACATACACACACCCCAGGACGTGTGGAGGTCATAAGCCCACCAGGTCCTATTGACATTTATTTTTTTTCATTCATTCACCAAATACTTATTGGTCACCTTTATGTGCAAGGCATTTTTCTAGGTACTGGGTGTACAGCAGTGATCAAAAGAATCCTTGCCTCTAGTAGGAAGAAACAGTCAGTAAACAAGTAAGTTAAGGAAAACCAACCACATATGTCAAATGGTGGTAAGTGCTATAGCTAAAAATCAATTAGGAAAAGAAGGCCATGTTTCAAATAGGGTAGTTAGGGAAGACCTCAAGGCAAAGCTACCTTTTTTTTTTTCTTTTCTCCCTCTCTTTCTTTCTTTCTCTCTCTCTCTTTCTCTTTCTTTCGTTAACCTTTTAAGCAAGACCTAACAGGTGGAGGAGTTAGCCTTTAGCATTTACCTGGAGAAAGAGCATGCCAAGGAGAGGGAACAGCCAGTGCAAGAGGTTGGAGGCATGTGCAGGGAAGAGCAGGGGAGGAAGAATGTTGGGAAGTAAAGTCACAAGAGATCAAAGGAGAGGGTGGGGAGATCTTGCAGGGCCTTGTAGATTATTTTAAAGACTTTAGCTTTTATTCCAATGAAATGCTATCTTAAGGTTTTGAGCAGAAGACACACTGTCAAGACAAGAACTGACTTACCCATTAAATGCATCAGGTTGGGGGCGCCTGGGTGGCTCAGTCGTTAAGCGTCTGCCTTTGGCTCAGGTCATGATCCCAGGGTTCTGGGATCGAGCCCCGCATCGGGCTCCCTGCTTG